TAATGTGTGAAGGTAATTAACAGTGAGAGCGCTCCAAATGCCAAACTGCTAGTGTGTGCTCAGTGTGTCATTGTATGTGTCAGTCAGAGTGAGGACGAATCCCCCGTGCGCAATGATGACGGCCTCTATGATGAGTGTGTTTTCAATCAGTCCTTTACACACACACACACACACACACACACACACACACACATACATACACACATACACACACATCATGAATGTAACTGAAGTGAAGTTGCGTCAGCACCAATAGGCAAATGTGTTAAGAACTTAAAGTAAGTCACATCACAGTCACATCAAAAATGAGAGCAGCATCAATCGCGCGCACACACACAACACAACTACCTACACACGCGCGCTAACACTGCAGGCAAACATAATAAACACACACGGGAACGCAACTCATCCATTTGCACAAATTTAGTCTTTTGAAGATGGACACGAAGTGACTATGATTAAATCCACCATACGCGCACATGCCCCCGCGCGTAATGCATGATTAAACATTATTAATCATAATCAATCTGTATGAGAGATCATTACATCTACAAATCTGCCACCTTATGAAACATTCAGCGCTGTGAGGATTTCAAACCACTAAAACACAAAGCACCGGCCGAGAGCGGGAACGCGCTTAACAAATCCCATGGTCGAATATCGGATAGGAAGAGAGAGAGAAAAAAGAGCTATTGGGTTTAATCACCTGTCATTTCCCGACTCACGGTGAGAAAAGCGGTCGCGACGGTGTCTTTGGATGCCATGACGTCCAGCGCCCCTTTCCTCTTCCTATTCAAGCAGGAGCCGCTATAACGCTCGCGCTGCCTCAGCCGATGCCTATAAACATATCATACTGAGCAGAGGCAGAGAGGGAGGGCATGAGAGAGGAGTTCACACACAACTGTGCATATATCTATGTAAAGCGATGAATTAATAATGCAAAGCAAAGGTTTTTGTGCTTGGATGAGAACATGACTGTATTATTTTTTCACTCGTGTTAATAATACATGGAGGCATGATTCAGATAGATAGACAGAAAGATGGATAGATTTGTACTCCAAATTGAATACATTTCAAAATTCACATACGAAGAGTAGTCTACACATTCATGAACTTGTTTTTATTGTATTTAAATGCACTTGGTAATGATGTGAAACTAAAGCATTTGCGTTATTATAAATCACTGTTATAATAATTATATGCTTTAAAGCACACTCATTAGTAGAATGCTATATTTACATATCACATTGGTCTTTCACCGTAACAAATGTGTACTTACAATATGTATTTAAAACATTCATTCCTTTTCCTTCAGCTTAATTCCTTTATTCATCAGGGGTTGCCACAGCGGAATGAACTGCCAACTTATCAAGCGTTTTTTACACAGCAGCTGCCCTTCCACCTGCAACCCAGTACTGGGAAACACCCACCCACAACCACACACACATGCAGCCAATTAAGTTTTTTTTTTAATTGACCTATATAGCGCATGCGTTTGGACTGTAGAGAAAACCAGAACTCCTGGAGAAAACCCATGCGAACACGGGAGAACATGCAAACTTCACATAAAAATGCCAACTGACCCAGCCGGGACTTGAACCAGCAACATTCATGCTGTGAGGCGACATTCTTTTAATATACTTTATTTTGTCAAGAATATTGTCACTTTCAAGACAGAGGCTGAAATTTTACAAATTATAACTATTTTTAGACAGACGGATAGACAGATCTGTTGAGTTTGTGTATGTTTGTGGTTTAATACACGTTTGTTTGGTCTGATGCTAGCAAACATGGTGTACTCTTACATATTGACTGGCTCACAGCAGATTTGGAGTTTCTCCAAAATTATTGATGACTCTTGCACTAAAATGTCTGTCCAATCAAACGCCCCAGCTTGACCCTACAACTGACAAACAACCAAAATTCAATTGAGCTAATTTAAAAAAAAAAAAAAAAAGATGGGGGAAAAGAAGGTAAAAGGAGACATTTAATACATTCAGATACATCAATGCAGATACAACAGCAGATACATCAATGCTTGAAAGAAAACAAAGATATACTGAAGAATGTAGCCTTAGTTTTGTGGGCTTTAATACACATTTGTTAGCCCTGATGCTAGTAAACATATTGGTGTACTATTACATATTGACTCAGCCACAGCACATTTGGAGTTTCTCCAAAAATATCGATGACTCTCGCAGTATACACTATTCAACTAAAGCGCTTTCTAAAAAGAGTTCCTGCCAAGACCTACAACTGACTAGCAACCAAAATTAAATTGAGATAATTAAAAGTAGACAGTCGAAAGAAGGAAAAAATGTGGCATTTAATACATTCCACCAAAATATCCTGTTTCAACAGCAAATACATCAATGCCAAAAAGAAAAATATATACTGAAGAATGTAGCCTTAGAGTTCTATGGGCTTTATTACACATTTATTAGATGCTAATAAACATGCTGGTGTACTCTTACATATTGACTCACTCAAAGCAGATTTAGAGTGTCTGCAAAATATTGATGACTCTTAAGCTAAAATTTCTGTCCAATCAAACGCTTTCTGAAATGAGTCCTTCCCTGACCCTACAACTGACTGGCAACCAAAATTCAATTGAGCTAATAAAAAAGTTAAAAAATAAAAAAATAAAAAAAAGGAAAAAAAAACTTGAAATTTAACACATTCCACCAAAGTATTCAACAGCAAAAAACATCAATGTGAGAAAGAAAACAAAGATATATTGAGAGTTTTGTAGGATTTATTACACATTTGTTAGCTCTGATGCTAGTAAACATATTGGTGTACTTATATTGACTCACTCACTGCAGATTTGGAGTATTTCCAAAAATATTGATGACTCTTGCACTATAGAAATTTCTGTTCAATCAAACGCACTCTAAAACAAGGCTCTGCCAAGACCTGCAACTGACTAGCAACCAAAATTCAATTGAGGTAATTAAAAATAGGGGGTGCCATTTAATACTATTGCACCAAAATATTCTGTTTCGACAGCAAATACATCAATGCGAGAAATGAAACAAAGATATACTGAAGAATGTAGCCAAAAAGTTTTGTGGGCTTTAATATACATTTGTTAGACTGGATGCTAGTAAACACACTAGCATACTCTTATTGACTAGCTTACAGCAGATTTGGAGTTTCTCTCAAAATATTGATGACTCTTGCACTAAACAACTTCTGTCCAATCAAACGCTCTCTGAAACGAGTCCCTCCCTGACCCTACAACTGACTATCAACCAAAATTCGATTAAGCTACTAAAATAAATGAGGGAAAAAATAAGAAAAAAGGTGAAATTTAATACATTCCACCGAAATATCCTGTTTCAACAGCAATGCATGAATGAAAACAAAGATATACTGAAGAATGTACCCTTACAGTTCTGTGGGCTTTAATACACATTTGTTAGCCCTGATGCTAGTAAACACATTGGTGTACTCTTACATATTGACTGACTCGCAGCAGATTTGGAGAGTCTCCAAAAACATTGATGACTCCTGCACTATTTAAATTTCCAACCAATCAAACGCTCTCTGAAACGAGTCCCTCCCAAGACCTACAACTGACTAGCAACTAAAATTCAATTGAGCTACTAAAAAAAAGAGAAAGTAGGTGCCATTTAATTCATGCCACCCAAAGCTCCTGTTTCAATAGCAAATACATCAATGCGAGAAAGAAAACTGTGCAACAGCAACTTACTCTAACAGGCACCTTGTTAGCAGAGCGACAGACCTCAGCATCTGCCTGCTGGGTAATAGCTTGGAGGAGGAGTTTGTGAGTGTAGCGGTTTTTAGTTTATATGGTGACTCAGTTTAAAAAATGGGTATTTATAGCAGCAGTGTGACTGTAGTGTCAATGTCCTTGGCAGCGAGAGAAATGGTTCTTTTCATAATAGAGTATTTTGAAATCCCCGTCACTCATAAAAGGATAATACAAGCTGCAAATGATGTCTGTGATTGGGCAGAACTGTAAGCGGGCTCCCTGAAGACCGAGGCGCACACACTCACTCTCCTGCTCTATGATGTTCTCTATTAGTTTCTATCCTTCCTCTACACACATTTATTTTTTATTTTTGCAGTGGCATTGCTTGCTCTGTTGAAACCGTGTCTGCCCTACACTTACCCCAAGGCTGATTTTTGTTCTGTTTGGACGGGTGGGCAGCAGGGGGAAGGGCAGGAGGCGACTGGCTTTGGTTTTGTCCCCTCGACCAAGCCTCCAGGCCTCGGCATACAGTATCTACTCAATGAAATGATGCATGTGTGTGTGAGCATGTGCATTTGTGTGGTTTAAGGGAGAAAACGAGACTATAATTGTTGGGACAGTGGAAAAGTGGAGCCTGAGGGGGAAGAGTGACAGGAGGGATGGACGAATGCACAAAGGAGGAACAAGAATAAGCAGACAATGATCACTGGAAAAGGACTGAGTGTGTGGATTTGGTTGGAGGATTAGATGGAATGACAGATTTGGGTTCAGATCAGCAGATGTGAAATGGGCAAATGATTTACAAGTACAGTGGGTTTGGGGAACAGTATGTGCAATCATTTTAGCAATATTCAGGACATGTTAAAAATAGAGATAAGGCATGCTGTGATAGTATGTTAAATGGTATACATCTAATATTTTAATAGTTATTAATTCAATAGAAAACATTGGATTTTTCCATTTTGATTAGCATTCTGAGACATTCACTTAACTTAGGTTTCTATGTACATGTGCTGATAAAAAAGGTGGAAAACTTATCTAGTGCTGCCACCAAGTGTCCACATACAAAAAAAATAAATAAATAAATAAATGAATCCCTCTCCAAAGTATGCTAAACTGAAAACAATTATTTAAAGATGATTCCTTGGATTTACTTTTTTTTTTACGTTAAGAGGTTATACACCATTTATTTGGGCTGAATTTAAACAAACTAATTAAGTTGAACATTACTAAATTTAATTTGTTTGTTGAAATTAAACAAATAAATAGTTTGCAACAGTTTTGCAGACATCATTTTTTTAGCGTATGTGATGCAGAATAAGATATGTTGACTGTGGCACACGTAAATGCCACAACTTTTGCTGAGTTCAGACTGCACGATTTTCAAAGTAGATGTGTGTCAGATGTTTTCACGCTGCATGACTATTTGGGGTCACATTCTGTTGATGCTGTGTTTACACTGCAAGATGAATCGGCGAAAGGGTTTCACACTGCATGATTTTAAGTATTGCCGACAACATTGTCTCGGCCCCCAAACTACGTCTAACAATCAAAAATATGCGAAAAGTGACATGGAAACAACCCAAGGTCATGTAGTATATCTTTTGTTATTAACTACAAAATGAGAAAGACGACTTTAGTTGGGTAGAAAATGTACTTAATTTGCTCACCTGGCCTTTGAAGAGCAATTTCTCTTTCCCTACATTTATTGGGTCCAATTAGACAGAAAAAAATTACATAAAAATAATAAATCACTTTTAACTTTTCCCCCAGCCTCCTGTTGGCCTGCAGATACCCATTGATGCTGCTCTCTCATTGGCTGTAGGTAATTGCCGATGTTATGTTTGATCAGAACACATTTTACACGTGATGATTTTGAATCGCACAACAGGTCCAGATATTTAGCATGCCAAATAACTCGCGGGTGTTAGCGACTCATCGGTGATTCTCTCAGATCGCGTCTTCGATAGTTCACACTATGTGATTGATGCGTGAATGAGCACTGATTTGCTTGTGATTTCAGGCATTTGTTTGCGATTTCTCAAAACCTGTCAGCGAGTCAAAATTGGGGCTATACTCATGCAGTCTGAACTCGGCATTACAAACTGCCAAATTTAAATGGAGAGAAGGGAGATGTTTTAGATTCAAACTTAAATGGAAAAGGAAGAGACGTTATTGTCTCAGCTTTCACAGGATTGCAGAGTCTCACGTAAGAACCTTTCCCAGCCAGTCCAAACCCAGCATACACAGGCTCTTTAAAAACAGTTTTGTGCTTATAAATGAGACTCATGTTGACCCCGGAAACACTGTAAAATGCCAAGACCCCAGCCCTATAGTTCAAATACACTCCTATTTTAGGTGCACGAGATTCGTGCTTTGTAAATGTTGTCTTATTGTCATGCCAGAATTCATAAGTGGACCAGAAACAGCGCAGTCCCCACGAGTTGGCATTTCTCCCAAAAAGAGTACGTGGTTTGCCTTTTCTGTGGATTCCTTGATAGGACACAGCAATGCAGACCCAAGAACCCCCTCCAACCTCCACCTCCCAGTATTTTGAGGACCCTCTCAGGGCTTCGTTGCACAGGATCTGTGCCCTGCAGTTAAACCTCTGAGTGTGTTCAGGATAGTCCTGAAGCTGGTTTGAGGCCATCACCTCTTGGTTGTCATTTCTGAAGAGCAGATATTTATGCGCTGAGTTGGTATTGAAAGAGAGCTTTGTTGCATCTGAAATCAGAAAGACAGATGCATTTTAGTATAACCAACACAAAATGAAAGAGCTTCAGTTTTCTATTGGATACGTACACTGTAGAAACTCTTCTCTTGTCTTTGGCGGTGGTGATGACACAATTCTAGTGTTTTTCACTGCAAAAGAAGTAGGTCTAAGATGGTTAAAATGTCATAATTACTAATCATATTATTCCAAACCTGTATCACCTTCAATTGTCTTTAGAATGCAAATGACAATATAAAAGAAGAGGTATTTCTGTTCCTCTATTGGTAGTGTATTAATCCAAAACACTGACATTTCAGAATGTTCACATGAATTGAGCACTTCACATCAATCACTGCAAAAAGAACAGATTAATTTAAGCTTTTATTCAAATATTATCAGTGATCAGCATTTAAATTTGGTCACAGATTCTTGTTTGAAATGTACAATAAGAACCAATCAAGGTAATTTGCAGTTAATAAGCAGTTTGAGCTTCTAGGTGTGGTTGAGTTTCTGTTTATGTTCACTGATCAAGGTTTTTATGTTAAAACCTTAATTCATTCTGTTGATTATATAGAGAATTTGCTTAGAAGTCTTGAATTAAACCATACAATTGTAATGGTTTTATTTTTTGAGTTCCTTATGAACATCTTGAAGAATCAGTTTTGGGTTAACGAACATCTAGTGGGGTGGGGGGTGTAAATCTCAGATTTGATAACTAAAAAATCTCATTTGATTTTCAAAGATTATAAAAGTATATACATGTTTTTTTTTATTTTGGGGGAACAAACCCTTTAAAGTCTGCAAGAAACGGACATTGCTGAGACTTTTATTTCAGTGTGTTGAGGTACTTCCAATTGAAACAATATTAATTGATAAATGGGATATTCTACCAGAAATTTATATTATCTGTCCCTGCAATAAAAAGAAACACAGAGAATAAAAAGTATTTAATCCCAAAAAACTAGGTCTAAAAAAACTGGACTGATGATTGATTTCTGTGAGTTGTTCTGTAAAGAAATGTCATTTATTTGGTTCTCAAATTATTTTTTTATTAAAAACACTTTACAAATGTAAAAACTCTGTCATTGTCCTTGTCCTCAGCCCAATTGAACTTACAGCTTTAATAGTTTTATGCTTTGCCAAAAACTGATATTTAGGGAAAAAATACTTCAGAAATAGCAAAAATTAAGTTGTTATAAATCACATCAATCAATTAAAAACATGAATTTATAAATAACTTCTACAAATAAATACTACAAATATATAATACAAATAAATGTCAGTCTTGTCACATTTGCATTAAATTTTACATACAATGCGTGCAATACACCTTTAGGCTATGACTTGAAAGTGACATCATTTGACAGAGAGGAAGCTGACAGTGATCAAGGATGCATTCTATCATTGAATTGTATGATTTTAGGCTTGTTTTTGTATGATTTTTGAAGTCAGGCTCTGTCTCGTTTTCTAAAAGTGAAAATGTACACTTCTGGTAGAATGTCCCATATAACTGACACAATATACTGAATAGGGGCGGGGCTTTATTTTTGAATATCATTCCCTCTTAGCAAACTAACAGTAATAAGGGTGTGGTTTAGAATATTGTGATTGAAGCTGACAAGCAGAAAAAAAAGCGAAGGATTGCCACTACAATAGAGGAAGCAAATGATCAGACTTTGAAAAAAAAATGGACTAAATTGAACAGATTACTTATTCACTTTAAAAATAACAATATTCACTAGCAAAACAGTATCACTTCAAGGTGATTCATAGACAATATAATCATGAACGGTATTTAAATAAAATAAAACAACTTCTACTAACCTTTTCTGGAAACTCTGAGTAAACTCTGCTTGCTGGTTGTGTTTAGCTTTTTAACTAACTCATCAACAAACATGGAGTCACGCTCAAAAGAATTGTATGGATGAACATGGAAGACGAATGACTGTTTATACACAGTCAGTAAAGGCATGAACACTGCACTCTGTGGAAAGTACAAACACATTGACAACAACTGTAACATTATACCAGACACTCCAAAAGGCATCTATCTGTTTCAACACAGCCATTGTCTGTATACCTGAAGAAAGCGAACATCATTGTTTGACTGAGACAGCAGCTCCAGGTCTATAAGATCAGTATTTTTTGCCCTCATAACACTGATCTCCTGCTGTAGGGTCTTTATGAAGCCCTCTGCTTGCTTCACAGCAGACTCTGCCTGTCCCTGGATCAGCGCTGTCACTTTGTTTTGATTGTCCTTCATAGATTGGATCAGCTCAGTGAAGCTCTTCTCATTGTTCACCAGTGCCTTATTTGCTGAAGCCTAATCATGAAGAAAGAGCAGAGTGGATGTCCTTAAATTATCTGCAGGCAATATCATACCATTAAAAATGAAAAGATACAAGTTCAAAGGAAAAATAAATGCTAACCTTGAAAACCTCAATGGCTTGTTTCAGCGCTTGCACGTCTTTCTCTTTTGCTTCAATTATGTCAATGGCCTTCTTCTGTAACTCCCACAGCTTACCCTTAAAAATAACCAGCAATTAAAATCAGTAGGACAAAAAGAACTAGTGTTTTGATGCCTTCATCTAAGCCAGAACTGCAAAAGCCAGACTCATTGCAGGCATTCCACATATAATAAATATGTCGGTCACTGGTACTATTCTGGTTTAAGAACATTTTTCAGATTATCCTCAGCATCAGTCAATAATAAAATCTGATTTCCAAGTGCCAACAAAATAAATATATAAATTAAATATATTCAATACAGTGGGGGAAAAAAGTATTCAGCACAACATTTTTTTTTCTGGGGAAAAAATTCTACAGGACTTGTTGACATGGAATTGAACCATATATTTGTAAATACCTAGACAATACAAACATAAAAATATATATATAAAAATAAAGAAATTGAAAGAAAAAAAATGTTATGTGTAATGACAATAGAATGACACAAGGACAATGTACTAAAATGTATTTAATACGTTATATAAAAATACTTTTTTAATGATGGCAGCTTAAAGACGTCTCTCTTATGAAGATTGAAGTCACATGAATTGCTCAGGTGTGTTTTTTGCACAGACTTCAACACTGGAAAAATGTGATGGCTCTGTGGGTCTTGTATATCAAATTTAATATTTATTTTGAGAGATTTGAGAGATTTCTTGGCTGTGTTTTGGATCATTGTCGTGCTAAAATGTCCAATCAGTTTTCATCTTTATTATCTCGATGAATGGACTGAAGCAGCAGATATTGGTTTACACTGACAGGTTAGAGGGTGGCTGAATAACTAAAAGATTTCAGCTGCTGTCTGGGCTTTCACTGCCTTTTTACACCTCCCTTTCTTCATGCGTTCAATACTTTTTCCTGCCATTTCATTTTCTTACACAACTCAGTTTGTAAAGCAACTACTGTTGTTGTTGTTGTTTTTTTTGCATATATGGATTTCTTTGGTTATTACCAACATCTAGTGTAAATGTCAAGTCAACTGCACCTTTAAGAATTTTAATGGAAAAAACAATGATGTGCTGAATACTTTTCCCCATTGTATTTTAATATAAATATGATTATATAACATTTAATGAAACACACATATTTGTACTGAATAAAGAGTAAAAATGACAAAAATACTTTGTTCAAAAAAATCCTGATAAAGGCTTTCAGTTTTACTGTTTTCAAATCCAATCAGCCTATTTTAACAATGTCTGAGTCATTATGTGAAACTGAAGAATGGAGTAATGGCTGCTGAAAACTCTGTTTTACCATCATTAGAAAGAATTACATTTTTAAATTAAAATTAATTTAAATTTAATTTAAAAATTAATACAGAACATTTATTTTACACCTATATTTATATTTCATAATTTTGTTTATCTGTTTATTTAAATGAACTGGCTTTTTGGGTGTGGTTCAATAGTTGGAGGTAAATTCTGGCTAGTAAACAATAAGCTTCTAAAGGAAAATATTTAATGATAGATTTTTTTTTTAAGTTTAGCTGCCGTATTGTTTAGTTGTTGTTTACTATAATGTTTTTTGTGTGTTTGTGTGTGACTCATATACACACAAAATAATACACCATTATCATACCAAAAAAGAAGAGACATAATCGTAACCTCATAACCATAACGTGAAATCATAACCTTCTTTAAAATCATCCTCATTACCATTAAACACTAGGTCCAGGTTCAGACTGTTCAAGAAAGACACTCCGCATTTTAATCACATTACTGACCTGTTTGTTGGCCACCTCCTCTTGCACTGGGATGACATGATGACCTGTGTGTTTATCAGTAATGCACAGGTGACAGATGCACTTTTGGTCTGTTCGGCAATACACCTCCAGCCTCCTGCCATGATCAACACAGATGTTCTCCAGCAGGGCAGTACATGGCTCCATTAGTTTGTGCCTCTTCCCAACGTGCAAAGTGTTATGCAAGTCAAGATGAAAATCACAGTATGACTCCGAACACTGCAGACAGAACTGTTCAGCTTTGCGCTTTTTTCCGATGCATGATGAACAGTCCACATCTTGAGGTTCACTTGAATTAAGGTCTGGATCTGCTTCCTCCATGGCTGTGGATGTGCTGGCAGTGGCCATACTTGACTTGAGTTTCGTTTCCTAGTAAGTATGATTATGGCACTGGCAATGCGGAATTCTAATATTAAGGATAAGGGTGTGGTTTCAGCCCGGGAGCAGGGTAGTGACTCAGAGGATCACAATTGACAAAACCAATGAAAGAAGCCACACTAAAACAAAAAGCTAAAAATACATAAAGTACAATAAAAAAAGTGATACAATCTGGGAATTTTACACACAAATATGCCTAGGGTTTACAGATAAAGGCTATAAAAAAACAAAATGTCTAATCCAAGAGTAAAAGTTTCTTGTTGATAACAAGTCAGATATAAAAAATGGCCGAACTGACTCAAGCTGATTCACAATGTGGTCTACAGAAAGGCATTTCTGAATGCACTGTCTCATTTTAAAGAGACAGTTTACTTAAAAAAAAAATTAATAAAAAAAAAAAACTCATGATGGTATGGAACCAATTGAGGGAAAGAAAATGTTAAGTTCATTTTTATTTTTAACACAAAATAAAACATTTGTAAAATGCTGGAAACTTGCAATCATTGACGCAAACAGAAATAGACAAAAAATAAATAAAAAAACTTAAACAGGAATATGAAGGGTGAAGGGGGAGTAAATGATCAGAGGATTGTCAGCTTTTGGTTAACCATCCCTTTAATCAGATGAGCTAAAGCAGCAGAACATGACACTGGGTGCCACTGCTGTCAGAACAGAGCTGAAAACAGAAGCTACAGTTTCCATGGATTCACCAAAATTGCACACTAGAAGGCAAAAATTGCCTGGTCTGTTGCATCATTCAAATTGTAGGGTCAGAATTAGGTGTAAATTACATGAAAGAAAGAATTTATCCTGCATTGTGTCAGTGGTTCAGGCTGATGATGATGATGTACAGCAGGGATACAGCAGTTTAGTTTCAACCATAGACTGTAAAAGCTATTGGACGTACTATCTGTGACATCACCCATAGGTTTCTGAAGAGCACAAAAGAAGCTGCAAGTGAGCATGACCAACCGTTGCCATTTTGTTCATGCGTTATCGCACCGATCGAGGGATACCAAACAAGGGCAAAGAGGTGGAGCGTGAGCAGAGTGCAATTAAGTGCACATAGCATTCCATATCATCTGATAATTGTAGGAAATAATTCCAAAATGCAATTGACTGTGTAAAACCACATAAAACAAAACAAAAATACGATATATATGCCGAGTTCAGCGACTAATCAGCCGGAATCAACTGAGGTGAAGTGACGGCGACCAGTCAGATCTAGCGGTCATTCAAGTGGCAACGCCCGTAATTATGGAGACTTAATATAACTAAACATAAACAAAATAAATGAGTTATTAAAAAAACACCCCCCTCACAGATGTCAAGAAGGGCAATATTAGCTATATGAACCAAAATCGTCCTTTGTACCAGGCTGTAAACACCTATTTTTCTTTTTTTTTCTGTAAAGTTGGCCATTTTAACAGTGGGCTTTATAAAAATTTGCTCTATTATGGAGCCAGGACAAGCAGAATTTGGATGAATTGCAGTTTCAGTTACTTACGTATTTTGCTTCATGAGGGAGGGCAGCTTGCCGCTCGGTTCCAACTCTAAATAAACACATCTGATCATACTAATTAAGTACTGCAGGCTTGTTTGAAATCTACAGGTAAAGGCTCATTTACACTACAAGTGACTCACTGTGGCAAAGTGACTAGCGATAGAAAGCAAGCGACTTAAGGCGACCTCTGTCTACGCGAGCGACATCGACCGTTGGTGACCAGGTGGGCGTGTCAAGCTACACAACAAAGTTGAGAATCCTTTAACTTCATGCAAATGAAGAGCGACTTTCTTTAGTGACAGCCAATAGGAGCACCAGCAGTGCTCATGTGATCCTCTCTCAGCTCGCTCAGAGGCCGGTTGTATTCGTAATGTATAGACCTATAGACGAATTACCGGTTTGTAAACATTCAGGTTGCAGAAAAAATTGGGAGCGCTACCATTTACAGTGAGTGAATGATATCCGATGTGGTACAGAGTTTGTTGCTGTCTTAGAAATAAGTTATATTGATTACATATTATATATAATATTTACATAATGGTTTTAGCATATTATAACAGCTTGTCACCCAGTGATAAGCACCGTTTTTATGCAAAACAATAAAGTGAGCGGCATTCGTCTGACAGGTTTTTTCGCTATAGCACCCTCCCAATGAATATTGGATAAGACAAAATGACCAAGCATCCACCCCAAAATTTAAAACTATCTCATTGAAAATCAAAGTGATTTTACAAGAGAGAAGTTTAAGGCCTTCAAGTCTTGCCAACAATTTTGTTCTGTGTGCAAGAAATAATGTTCCATGATTACCAGATTTAAAACTTTGTGGTGCTAAAAACCGAGGTTCTGCCAAGCCAAAGACAAGGAAAGAAGACAGAGCTATACAAAGGCCTGGGTAATAATCAGCAAGCAAAACGACTGCATTCTGACAGCGAACTGCACCTGTACAGCAGAGTATGTGAAAGTACATTTTTACATTTTATTCTAAGCATTCAGTGTCCACAGTTTAATTAACCATATGTAACTGTTTTTGTTGAAGTCATTGCTGCAATCAAAATCGAGTAATTCGTATGATTCAGCATAGCGTGAACTTAGCTGATATGAAACGAGAACTGCAGAGTCGAGCATTTTTAATTACATCCTCACTCCATTCAGCTCCATTTTAGCCAAATACGTCTGCAGTTGGCATTAAAAGCAGTGTGGTGTACGGTAAAATTAAGTTATGTATTTTTTTGACTTTCAAATTTGGTCACCTACCGCACAACATTACATGCAACCTGTCTTTTTTTGCAACCGGGAACCAGTGTAACATCTTGTGTGACGTAGGTTGGTAATTCCTTTATACGGACCTGCGTTTAAAGCAGGTAACTACACAGAGCGACAGGCAGCAGCAAAGTCGCTGCTAGCGTGAATGAGGCATAAGTGTGTTGAAGCAGGGTTGAAACTAAACTGTTTATGGCTGTGGCCCTTCAGGGGGCTGAGTTTGACACCCCTGATGTACAGTAATGGTACATGATGATGGTACCATGATAATGATGTACAGTACGGGGTGTTTATAGGGCCACTTTGTATTCTGTTATTTGAGCATGGTTTAAACACCAAAGCAATGTTGCTAAACATGTCCATCCCTTCATGAAAACAGTGGGAACCATCTTGCAATGGCTTCTTCTAGCAAGATAATGGACCGTCACAAATTGCTTCTTTAAAATGAATGTTTTTATGTATTCCTCATTTTCAAAATCTTTATTTCAGTAGTGCTTTTACAATGTAGATTGCATCAAAGTCCAGCTTGACATTGACAAAGAATAGAGAATAAAAAGCCATAACAATATTTCAGAATGTGGAAACCCTTCAGCACATCAGGCAAGTAGGTAGAATGCCGGTGTAGTTATAGTTCAATTGTCACTGATGAAGATCGGTTCAGATTAACACAAATGCCAAAGTTGAAGGATGAACCACTGAAGAGCAAGCCCACCAGCCCCAACCAAACAAGCCAGAGGCAACAGTGGCCAGAAACCAAAAGTCCTCCAATTGACAGAAGTGGAAAACAAACATTGGCAAAAACCTGCCTCAGACTGGGTGACCAGTTCTCCTCTTGTCAGGGGCAGACATTATGGAGCATGAGAACAATGAGAATATATCATGGTATTGATAATTTTCTTTGGATGACATCATCTGCCAAATGACTAAATACTATATAACTGTAATGAAGCACCATTGGAATGTGAGTTTCACATCATTGATATGCGAGTCCGACAAATCTTCTGCAACATGCTATGTTGTCAATATGGACCAAAATATCTGAGAAATGTTTCCAGAACCTTGTAATAAATTTAGATGCTTCTATGTCATAAAAAACAAATAAGATCCTAGCCAGTTCTAGAAATATGTAACGTTGCAGTTAAGTTTGTATACACTTAAAAGCAACAAGGCAATATTAATATGAGCTCCAGTTTTATAATCAATATTGTTTTAAGAATAAGTCATGTATTTGCTTGTAAGCTAATTTAGTGTGTTGTTTGTTTTAGCTGAACTGCCCTTAGGGTAAATAACACAGCATTGCAGGACTTCAAACTGTGATTCTGCGTTGCAGGCTTCACACTGTTGTTCAAAGCCAAGAGCATAAATATGTTTGTATTACTGTTAGAAAACTCATGTGCTGTGTGCAAAATCAAATGCTAAATGCTCTGTATGCTACAGTCAAATATACATTAACTGCATTGTTTTCCCTTTGCAGTTTATGTTGTGTGCATCAATTACTTGTCTACTTTTGTAATTTGCTATTGTTTAAAAATCTGTTTCATGCATTAATATTGGTGGGATGCAACTTAGGCAAGGCAAGGCAAGGCAAGTTTATTTATATAGCACATTTCATACACAATGGCAATTCAAAGTGCTTTACATAAACAAGAATAAAAGAAACAAGTAAAATAAAAATAAAAACAAATAATAAAAATGCATAAAAACAAAACATAAAAACAGGTAAAATGTGATATGAAAGAATGAAGAAGAAGAGAAAAACATGATAGTGCAATCTATCGGACGCAGCACAGTGCTCATTCAGTAAAGGCACAGCTAAACAGATGTGTTTTCAGTCTTGATTTGAATGTGCCTAATGTTGGAGCACATCTGATCATTTCTGGAAGCTGATTCCAGCAGCGAGGGGCGTAGTGGCTAAAAGACGATTCACCCTGCTTTGACTGAACTCTTGGAACTTCTAGTTTATATGATCTTAATGATCTGAGTGATCTGTTAGGTTTGTATTGAGTGAGCATATCTGTGATGTATTTAGGTCCTAGGCCATTTAGTGATTTATAGACCAGTAATAATACTTTAAAATCTATTCTGAATGTAACTGGCAGCTAGTGTAAAGACCTGAGTACAGGTGTGATGTGCTCTGATTTTCTGGTTCTGGTTAGAATTCTGGCTGCAGCGTTCTGGATGAGCTGCAACTGTCTGACTGTCTTTTTAGGAAGACCAGTGAGGAGTCCATTACAGTAATCTACCCTGCTGCTGATAAAAGTATGAACAAGTTTTTCTAAATCTTCACTAGAAACAAAGCATCTGATTCTTGCTATGTTTTTTAGATGATAGTATGCTGATTTACT